AACGAATTGTACTTTCCTGAAAGTTTCAATGATCTAGAATCTTTATTAAATTCCACATTTTCAGAAAATTGTCAGCCATTTAAGGAATGTAAAGATAAGTTTCAATGTGGTATCACTAAATTTCATTCGACTGAATCGGCAGAAATTTGTAAGGCAAAAACAGCAGACTACGTATTCGTTTCTATAGGGTCACATACTTTAGAATGGAGTTATTCGCGTATGGATGAGTATCTTAAAAGAATTTTCTCAAATATTCAAGAAAATCAATCGAATGGGAAGATAACATTTATGACAACAAATGCAATGAATGTTCATAATATTCCTAAAGAATATGGGAGTCAGTATTTGATTAGAAATAATTTTAGGATTGATAAAACTAACAAATTGTTGAGAGAATATTTGACTCAAAACAACACGGAAATGGTTGACTTAATAGACATTTGGTCAACCACACAACCAATATGGGAATTTTCCAGGGATGCGATACATTATTACAGAAATGTTTATGACGTTCAAGCTCAGTTAATCATTGATAAATTGATTGAGAGGTTAAACAAATTATAGACATTCAACTTTTAATTTAATGGCTATCTGTTTGCTGTACTAATTTAGTAATTTACTGTAAAATACTTATGAATATTCTTTTTTTAAAGAAAAACATAATAATAATGATAAAAAGTTCATTATCAAAATCAGAATAACTATTGATGCCGAAATTTTATTATAATGCGAAATCGTATTTTTTTTTTATAATGGTGATGCAAATGTTTTAGTCTCTATATAATCACCATATTTGTATCCCGAAGGTGTGACTATAGAGGGGTATGACTGTACTTTTGTATTTTTTTTTTCTTTTTTGTGCTTTCTTTTATTTAGCTTCTTAATAAAGCAGGCAGCTGCTATAACTTATAATCAAAGAGATTATATTTTCAGTAAGTTGAAAATCTAACATCAAGCTAATTGTTGCTAAATAGGTTATATATACTTGGGTTTTAATATTAAGTTTTATTAATATAGAACTAAAGTATAAAAAGTTATATTCTATCTGTTAATAATGATTTTCTGATATTTCTAATAAAATAATAATGGCAGAACCACTGAATTAAAAACAAATAAAGTTTTTGAAGTTTTTTTAAAATTATTATTAATTATATAACTATCTTTTGTGTTTTAACTATATATACCACCAAAATAGATTTTTTAAAACACTTATTTTATCTTTATTAGAGCAAATTAGAATTTTTTATATGTAAAAGTAAATCTAATTTAGGTAGTTATTCTTTATAATTACATTTTTTCAAAAAAAGTATCAAAAGATTTCATCTTTTACGTAAAATAAATCAAAAACAATTTCATCTTCAAATTTTAATTTTAGGTTTTAATTTCAAAAATAATTTCATCAGCATGTATAATTCTAACAAAAAAATTTTATTTAATATTTGTATTATTTGATTAAACAGCAGAATTTTCTTTGTTTAATAAAGAAAAATTAGTAGAGCTCCAAAATATCTACAAATAGTTAAGATTTTTTAAAAATTACTAAAAATAGAGTTATTTAAAGCAGAGACAATTTCACATAATTATAGTTAATTAAATTATAGAATTTTAATGATCATTGGTGAAGCAAAGCAAAAAAACAAAATTAAAAAATCTAAAAAATAAAAAAACAGCAGTCTAAATCTATTTTGAGTAGATTAAACAAAAAATATCAAGAAGACAATTTTGCTTATACAGTATATAACAATCTAAAACTTAATTTAATTTTAATATAAAATAACTTTAACCTAAAGTTAATTGAATTGTTTTTGCTTTAGATATTTCTTTAAAAATCAAAAATAAGCAAACTAATTACTATAAATAAAAAATATTATATAAACAATTCTGACTTATTTATTGAGGTTTTAAATTAAAAAATCTAGTAATTTTGTGTGGCTATCAGAATTTTGTATTTTGATTTTACTATATTACAAGTTACACAATACTGTAAACTTGGTTTTAGAAATATAATACTAATAATAAAATGGATTAGCTAATTAGGTAAATTGTTTTATTTACAATTCTGAAGTTTCTCTTAAAATAATTTTAAACAATTTTGAAAAACATTAAAATGAAAGTATAATAGTAGTTATACCATGCTATACTTATACATGTTAGCAAAATCTCAAACTATTATAGTTTGGGATTAGGTGTCCCAAATTCTAAATTCTGGCCAAACTCATATTTCAAAAACTTTATTAATGATCTTTATTTAAACAAATCATATATATTTATAGCTATATATAATACGTACTGTATATTTACAAAATTTTAAATTTATTTCTTTGATTCAAAATTTTATTAATAACAATTGCATTTTTGGGGTTTGGGATTTGTCAAGGCTTTGCCAACAAATATAGCTATATCATATTATATAGTATTATATCTGTATTATACTATCATTCTTTATTATAACCACATTCCTACTTAGTTCACACTCTTTCAAGGGTATATACATACTT